GATTCAGGCTTTGATGATTATTGCTGCCTGTGCAGTTTCTTCCCTTTGAAATACTACCTCAAGGATTTCAGTAAGAACGCATTTTAAGGCTAGCTTTTGCCAGCTACTCTCTCCTCTCTGGTTTGCACATATTACAAACCTCTTCACATCCCTGCATCGGTTTATGTGTAAGTCAAGTGAGCTGTTAATAACAGCCCTGCTGGGGTTTCAGAGCCCTTTATGCAAAAAGAAGATGCAAATACAGGTTACACAAATTCAGTGCTTGGTCTTATGTCTGGAAGCTTTCGAAAGTCAAGAACACGAGGCTCCCTAATCTCATTCTCACTGTGAGCATGGCCAGCCAGGATGGAAATGAGAAGGTAGTAATTTGTTAAGTGGAACTATGATAGCCTGTAGGACAGCCTGCAATGTTTTTCAGATTTTCTACTAACTTCACTAAATAAAGAGACAGAGGTGCTCCTGTATTTTGTTTTATGCATCCCTATTGGTACTAGCACAGTCAGAAACACAGCACTGTATTTATTTCATAGGAAATAAACCATCCCATACTCTCTTATAGGATGCACTATACATATCAAGGTGTAACTCCTACACTAGCATCATCATTTTAGGAGTCCTGACAGCACATCTCTGAACAGTTACAGCCCTGCTGCCAACCTCTTGCCTCTCAAAAACAGATAGTAGGACTTGAGGTTTCCCTAAATCAAAAAATCTCTTGGAGCACAGCTCTTTAAGAGGAAGCTGACATGTGGGAGGTTTTTCCTTTTCCCTCCCCTACGGGCAGGAGTTAGCTCACCAAAACAAATCCTTTCCAAAGGGAAAGTTTATCAAATCCCACTTAGCAACTTAGGTACATGAGCCTGCTGGTCTTGAAGGTTAAGATGCTGGGTGTAATAAGGAGAAGGTGGAGCAAGTGAGGGGCTACCTAGGAGAAATGGTGGCTGTGAGGGCAGGTTGTTGTTTGGTGGCTGTCAGAGACAGGCAGGGAGGGCTCACCCAGACCTCCTGCGCATTAGGCTGCTGCTGGAGAACAGCTGTGCCGGGGAAACTTCAGGAAGACTTAGCAGAAATGTTAACACTGAAAGCCTCTCTCTTCCCTGAGCAGCAGAGACTTAGCGCTGAAGTATCTAAACTGTGGGTTGCCTACAGAGCAGGATAAGCATCCTGTAGGATGTACTGCAGGATGCCACAGGGCTTAGGCCTTCATTAGACTTCCCATCTGGCTCAGTCAAGCTCATCGCCTGCTCTGCGTGACCCTCCCCTGCTTATGCTGCTGGATCGAGGAGGGGAAAACGGTGCTGATCCAGTGGACACACAGCTTTTTCTCCCCAGAACAGCTCTGATCACTGCAAAGAGAGATTTGGCTGGTGCTGCTGACCCTGTGTGCCCCAGCTCTGGCTGCGGCAAGGGTTACACATCCTCTGCGCCCACGCTTCAAGCGTGTTTTCACATGCAGCTTCAACTGCAGCTTCTACATAGGAAGAATTAAATTTCGTCCCTGGGAACTCAATAAATGAGGAACTCAGTAAATCTTGATTATTGCTGAGAATGCAACACTCTCCCAGTACTCTGAATGCAATGAGGTTAGTGCTAAAACCCGAATTCTCTCTCATTTGTCAGCATTATCTATTTATCCTGCACACGTCACAGTGGTAAATGAATGTGGCATTAAACACTAAATACTAGAGGTGAGATAAATCCTGGTTTTGCAGGGGCTCTTTGGTTCTGCTTCATCATCCCTGCTGCCCCAGCAAGACTGAAAAGGATTATTAGTGGATTTTTGTTCATTACCTTTTTTATGTAAAAAGTATATTGTCACACTATTGGAGTATAATTTCAGCATGATCTTAAGCAAAATAATTTGATATTTTTATTTAGAACACCTTCTCTAACTATGTTCATATGGAACTATCAGCTACTTCATTTCAAAACAGCTCTAAATACTTTGCCATTAAAAAAAACTCTCAAAATATAAACTTTTTTTCAGGCTAAACTGTATCTAATTTGAACTATTCTGATCTGAAAATTTTTAATACTACCAAGCCAAAAAACTGTACTTGGGTATATCGCATAAGTACTCTTTGTCTATAAGTAGTAGTTGATTACAGCAAGGCATCTCATTTTTTAAACAGAAAACTCACAATCTAGCGAGAACCCTCACCAAAAACAAAATGTAGTATATAATTATCTGGCTTAGTGTGAATCTGTTAGGGTACCTCTTGCAAAATATTAAGCCTTATGAGGGTAATAGAGTCAGAAGCTGTCAAACTAACTTTTCTCCTTGCCAACATTACGTAGTACCCTGCTATTTCCTACTCACAGCGATAGACCTCTTTGTCATGCTAGCAAGCAGCCAGATGATAACAGAAGTAAATAGTTCAAAGCCTTATCTGACACTCAACAAGCAAGCAGCTGGAGATCTGTAACGTGAAGCCATATATATAAAAATGATTTACAAATAATCTGCTAGGATGGAAGAAGGCTGTTTCTATGGTGCTTTTATGTAAGGAATGAGGAAAACAGATAAAGAGCACAAGGTTCAACTCTAAAAATATCTCCTTTACGTTCAGATAGCTCCATGGACACTGAAGGCCAACAGCAGGCAGGCAGGTCGAGATGTTGTGATGTGCATGAGCTGCTCAGCTACACTCACAAGAAGTGGATACATTTACCTGTTAGCGTCTGAGGCCAAAATGAGAGAAAGGGATAAATTCTGACAAACTGGGAGCAAGTGAGATGGTCTGGCTCTGTGTCCCCCTTCTTGGATCTGGGTCAGAAACTCCAGTTCAGGCTGTCAACGCTCAGCCTCTGCTGGGTGGTTCAGCCCGTCTCACGCACCGGAGCCCGCGCAGACCGTGCTGGGATCACACTCGTGCTCCTGATGTCGCGCAGAGCCGAGCGCCGGCGACTGCAAGACGCTCCTCCACCTGCCTTCGCTGCGTATCTGCCCGCTTTGGCCAAGGAGACTGCAGCCAGGCAAAGAAACACTCGTGCTCCTGATGTCGCGCAGAGCCCAGTGCTGCGAGACGCTCCTCCACCTGCCTTTGCTGCGAATTTACCCGCTTTGGCCAAGGAAACTGCAGTCAGGCAAAGAAATCAAACTTATATACGTATTAAGTATCATGCAGAATGTGCCTATGGCATCTTAATTGAAAAGGTAGCATCTTAATGAAAACTTCTGAAAAAGGACACTAATTGTTAGCGCTAATATAAATTCCAAATGACAAAACTCTCTGTGAAATTCCTTGTTTCTGTCCTGTTTTTAGAACATACATGTTTCAGGGGGAGAGGTGAGGAGGAAGAAAAGAGGCTGAGGCCTCAGGATACCGACACATACTTAGCTAAATATCTCTACTTTTCCCTCATTTAGAGCATCACCTGACTGACTGAAAGGGACAGTTCAAATTTGTTTTTTTCAGCTGAACATCCAATTCAAGCTTTGGACAGTGCTATCTACTTAAATAAATTAGCTGAAGCTACGAGAAACTTCTGGCTCTTTTCCATCTTCAAACCACGTGGCTTAGCCAGGCGCTATATGAAGCAGTGGATAGGAGTGTGTTTTACACAATGACTAAAATGTTTCCAGTGAATGTTTATATTGTGGACTAACACATTTCCTGACCTGAAAGAACAGCACAAATGCATTGGATCTTATCTCAGTTTCTGAGAAAGATAAGTAAAACACAGGGTAGAAATGAGGATGAAAGCTAGGTTGATTAGAAGCAGTGCAGTCACTCAATTACATTTAACAAATACAAATACATTTAGCAAATACATTTAACAAAAATCTGTTGGTTTACTAAGAGCGAGGAGAAGAAAAGTAACCAAAGCAGTGAGCTTGATTTGTAAGGTAGCCTGGCCAAGATGCCCAGCCACAGCTTCTTAGCACTGAAATGCATCTCAAGTGTCCAGCACTGCAGCTCTGAGTCTCATCTGACACTGCTTTTAGTTTTACCTCCCACTGAATACAGCTTCTGCCACACAAAGTATCAAGGTCTAGGTCCAGATCCCATTGGGCTAAGCAGCAAGGCCACCGCAGAAGCCCTAACACAGCCCACTTGAACTCTATTTTTAAAGGACAGAGGATATTTACAATTCCTTCTGCAAGATCTTATTAACCCATCTGCTTGCTGGATCTCAAAAGCATCTGGATGCCTTTGTGATAACCCCTAATCCAGGCCCAGGGCCGCACAGGCACCGCGCAGATGAAAACCCAGCCCCTGGGCTCGCTGCCTCCACGGCAAGGCGCAGCGCCTGGCAGCTCTCCTGCGACATATAAAATCCTCATGAAAACCAAACGTGCTTCCCGTCCACGCAAGCATGGGAGTGCCTGTGTTTGAAAGATGCTAGGCAAGAGGAAAGATTTTTTTCTTTAAAAAAAAAAAAAAAAAAGTTTAATTGCTTCTGTTTGGAACCTGTGAGCTGTCGCCTCTGGGCTGCAGTAAAAACGGCTCAGACAGTTTCCTGTCTTTTTATTATTATTATTATTATTTTAAGTTCCAGAGCTTTTCTTTTTATTTTCAAGGACTGCATCACGGCATCTCCATGTGTCAGGGAATTATGCTGTGGCTTGCCCCAGAGATTTCTGTGATCTCGATCTGCCGAGTAAATTCAAAGTAACCTGAACACAGGACCCTTCTAGTGCCGTTTATACAGACAAGAAAAAGGGACGTAGTTTGTCACCCAACGTTGCCAGCTGCGTGTATGGCCTCAAGCAACATTTGTTGTATGTATTTCGCTATCCCATTGCATCAGCTGTTTCTTTTAGGGGGATGCAGACCTAAACCTGCCCGTGGTACTTACTGCCCTGGCTGCTCTCTGCTCATCTCCTGCAGAGCAGCACGCGTGCCGTGCCGTGCCATGCCGTGCCGTGCCGTGCCGTGCCGTGCTGCCCTCCCTCCAGAGCCCCCTGAGGGGGCCGAGGGCAGCCAGCAGGCCCCGACGGCATGCACGCTTAGCCTAAAGAAAAGCCAATCGTTGGACAAAAAAAAAAGTAAATACAGTCAATGACAGTTTTTATTGATGAACTGCCTCTCTGAATACTTTATTACCGTATTAGAAGCCTAGGTTTTCAATTGAAACCAGCTGTTACTGGCTTACTCTCTGTTTCCTGAACCAAGGCGAGCAGCGCGGCCTACAGAGCCAGGATCTCGTGCTTCTGAAAAACAGATCCGTTTTCACGAGCTGCGAGGCCAACAATTCTCTGCTGATTCAGGTTTCAGGGAAACCTCAGTCTGAGAAAGGACTGCAGGGAGGTTCTACAAGCACCCAGAAACACCTGCCTCCTACCTCATAGATGTTCTTCGATTCCAGGCTGTTTTGTCTTGGGAGGAAAAGAAATGCAAGAAATACAACCATTTACTTAGAAGTAGAATGTAACTAATATCAGTCACAAACATGACTTTTGCATGGAGAATGTGGCATTCTTTCCCCCTCAAGGAAATGCTTGTGGTACAGTTTCCTTCATCAGAAAAACATGGCTAAACATGGCAATGAGTTTCATTGCGCAGGGGAAGTGTGGGAGCACCCAGGACCAAGTCAGCATTAAAAAATATTGATTTACTCTGGGTTGCCAAGGGATTGCAGCAGGTGTAAGGACAACTGTTCCTCCCACCACCTCTCCAGCTGTGTTGCTTGCTGCCATGCTAAATATTGATGCTGATGCAAGGCATCTCAGCAGGCCTCTGGGGAAGCCGCAGTATGAAGCAAGGCACAAACCCCTATCTGGGCAACTGCAAATCCATGGGGAACACAGCAGGAAATCTGCAAATGCCCCAGCACAAGCTGCAAGCAAGTTTCTTCTCTGGTACAGCTTTATTATCCTCAGTTGCTATTTCCAGCATTCAGAAAACTCAGGTTTTGTGTGGATTTGCACTTGGTATTTATGTTTTATTTTGCTTTTGCAGTGATAATATCTTTTCTGCGTTGAAATGAGATTCATAAAAACAAAAAGGCAGCTCTGGAGAAGAATTATCAAAACACTATGCTGTGTTTTCCTTATTTCCAAACACTGAGTAACATTTACGTTATGAGCAAGGAAGCCAAAACACGCAACCAATAAAAAGGAGAGTTGGAAACAGCAGATCTGCAGAAAGTCCTGAAAGGCAGAAGTTTATCCCAGTGCTTGCCCCTGTTCTCAGGCTTTGGGCAGAGGGAGCCTTGGGCACAGGAGGAGCAGGCTTTGCCAGCCGGAGCGTTTGAAGCCGCGCGGGCTCCGTGACGCAGCCCGGCCTGCAGGGACGCTGGCCTTGCTTCCTGATCAAAGCGACCACGGGTCACATTCAACCTGAGACGGGCTCTGAAATGTTCTCCCCGCTCCACCGTCACTTTCCTACATCACGAGCAGCTTATCCCATTGCGTCTGCCAGGTTACAGCGTGGTTACACTTTTACTTCAAGTAAAAAGAACTGTTTTTCTGTATATATTCTCCTATGCTTTGTAAGAAGAGCAGAGTTTTGAGTACTATTATTATGTCTGTGCAAAAAAATGATCGCTTACAGGACATGGCAATTTTTAATTTGTTACTCCCAATGATATCCTCACAAAACAAAGAGGAAGCAGAAGGGCTTTAGCAACTTACGGATTAAGCTCTTGTGCAGACAATTCTTCAAAGTGTCCTTAAAACTAAGCACTAAGGAAATAAGCATGTGCTTATATTCCTTTTTTTAAGCACATAGACATGAAGTGACTGTGTCTGTAGCAGGACATGGCTGGGTTAACCAAGGAGCCCATACAGGGGTCTGTCACAAGATGAGGTACCACACTCTGCTCACCAATAGCTGCTCTGCTTACAAATAGTAAACAGGACTAATACAAAAAAAAAGTAAAATGGATTAGATATTATGAAATCACACACCAGATGCCCATAAAACATAGAACCATTGATGGCAAGTGAAGCACAATAGAGTTAAGTTACTTGATTCTTGGTCTTTTTGGTGCTAGCTCCTCTGCTCAGATCCAGACCAAACCACAGAATATTTCCCAAGAAAAGTAAGGCTTACTGTTTTTCATTTTCCTTCACAATCTGCGCTGTCCACAGCAGTCACTACTGCTGCAGTTCAGAGCTCTCTCTTGCTGACTCTGACGGCAGTAGCGTCTTGCTTCCAAGGGCAAACAGGAGGAAATGCTCCAGTCCGTGGCACTACGTGCTGGGCAGCGCTCTAGCACTCAGGTCTATAAGTCGTTTAGTGGGGTCTGGCACTTACTATCTCCTTGGAAGCAAGGAAACCAAGCAGATTCCTCTTATAGTTTTTGAGAAACTGTCATCAGCTTAAAATGATTTAGACTCAGCAACCACTCCATCTTCACTCTAAGGCCCTTACCTTAATTGGCGAGGACAGATTCCTGTCAAATCTGTAGCATCCATCAGGGATGGATGAGGAGACATGGAAGAAAACAACTGTTTCAGGCCTTTGTGCAGCACTCAAACTCAAACTGAATTTGTTATAAAGTTCTGGAACGTCCAAAAACATTTTTATACCCTTCTGGTTTCCAGATGGGTATGCATCCAGAGCATCAAAATACCACAAAAAAAAAAAAAAAAAAAAAGCTGCTGCTTTTTCCTGCTGCAATCAGGAGCAGCTGCAGCAGAAGCAACTTTTTTAAATCATAGAATCATAGAATCATAGAATGCTTAAGGTTGGAAGGCACCTCTAGAGATCATCTAGTCCAACCACCCTGCACACGCAGGGTCACCTAGAGCACGTGGCACAGGACTGCGTCCAAGCGGGTTTTGAAGATCTCCAGAGAAGGAGACTCTACAACCTCTCTGGGCAGCCTGTTCCAGTGCTCTGTCACCCTCACTGTTAAGAAATTTTTCCTTAAGCTCCTGTGGAACTTTTGGTGTTTCAGTTTGCGGCCATTACCTCAAGTTCTGTCGGTGGCCACCACTGAAAAGAGGGCAGCACCATCCTCCTCACTGCCTCCCTTGAGGCTTTTCCCAAAGTAAAATTAGTTTAGATCATTGTAGCAAACTTTGCAGGGGCATCTAAACATTTAGAAGCACAGTGAGACGCAGCTTTCAAACTCGGGGAAGCAAATCCTGCGCCAGCCTCTTTACTCCCAAGGAGGGAACTGAGTGCTCCATGGGCAGCAGCCAAGTGACAGGACTCGGCCTTGCAGCCCTCCCTGGGCAGGTGCCTACAGGAAGCCCATTTAAATGCTCTGCCACTCATTTTCCCCATGGATCGAGAGACTCATGCTTGCAAAACAATATTGAGAGTCAAATTTCAAACCTTGCAATTATTATTATTTCATTAACTGTAAACACGTGGAGTGATAAATTAACCAGATTCAGTATTCTGCTGAATATTCTATTCAGAATCCAATATCAGCACCTTGGGCTTTAGGCAGCAAGGTGTTAAGAGGCTCTAGTGCTTGCTAACTTATATAAGTAAGTGGGAAAGGTGGTTCTAGCTCTTCGGCTTATAAGAAATTTGACTGATACTTCTCAGAATCATAATTGGTAATAAAAATTATTTAAGGATTTATTATAAATATTGCAGGAAAGGAGATAACAGACATGCACCACTGTTTACAATAAAATTTCCTGTAAATTAAAAAGAGCCCTTATGCTGTGTTTGGTTTTGATTTGGTACCATACCAAGTATCTGTTTATAGAAGGAAATATCACAGTATTAAGTGTACGGAGTGAATTGCGAAAGAGAGCAACAGCCAAGGTGAGTTTGCTTTAAAGCAAGGCCTAGCAACCGTGATACTGCAGGTCCCAGGGAGCCTGGGGAAGCCAGACCAGGGCTTGGGTGCGTGATTCCCAAGAGCCAGAGGAGGCAGCCCGGTGACTCCGTGGCAAGACCAGTGGCAACTGGGGCCACAGGCCAGGCTTGGACATCCCCAATGGAGCCCGAGCTGGCTCCAACACCAAAGCAGGGCTCCTTGAGAGCTTTTTCATGCACCTTTCTGGGTAACTGCAGCTCCTGCTGACGCTGACGGGAGCTGCAGACCCTCTGCACAGCACGGAGACCCCGGTGAGCTGGTGGTGGCTTGGCTTGCCAAGAGGCTAAGGGACACAGCAATGACACCACGGCTGCACAGCCAGGGGTCATCGCTGGGAAAAGCCTGAACTGCTTTTGGAAAGCGTTTCGGGTGGCGAAGAGGTAAAACAGGGGAAAAAAAAACATGCAGAGCTCTGTATAAAAAAGGAAGTTTGATAAAAAAGTGGGTAGCATGTTTCAAAGGGCTTATGTTTAGATGACTTTTTTTTCATTCATTTTGATTTGCATCAAATGCAATTCATTTTTGCTGAGCTTTTTCACTTACAGTATTTTCCAAAGTAGCTTATTATAGAGTCTTTCTGAAGTCACAGTTACATGGCAAAGTGTGTCATAAACTCAAATCATCTCTTCCCACATAAAAACTTCAGTGAGGAATCTTAGAAAAAGAAAACATTCACAGAATGTCTGTACAAAAAGAAGCATTCACAGTTGAGAAGGAATAGTGAAAATGGATGAAATCTATTTCAACAGGAAGCTAGAAAGCCACCTATTTTGCAGAAGCAATTGCTGAACTAGCCAGGGACCCATCCTGGTATCTCTAGAAACTGAAGGACCATGACTAGAACTTCATTAATCTCCACAGTACCCACCCAGGGAGAAAAAGGTTTGTGGACAGAAGTGCTGCATCAGGAGCGTGTGAACTCTCTTTTTGTGTATGACAGAAGATTTACGTGACTGATTAAATCCTGAAAAAATTGGCAATACCTGGAGCCAAGAGTCACACAGATTCATAGGTTTCACTCCAAAAAGTTCTAAGATCCATTATTTGATATTTAGTGCATGAAATTAATACTGCTCTTTTTTTTTTTTTGTAAATCCAAATAAAACCAATCTGCAGCAGATATGCTATCCCATTATACGAGTTCAATCGTTCACACTTACCTGGGGGCACGTGCTCATTCATGATGACGAGCGATGCTGGGGTAGGTCTTCGTTTCCTGATCTGTAACACGCATAAAAGTAAAGTCATCAGGGACCACCAGCCTGCTCCCAAAGCAAAGTGCAAATCCATCTGCTGTTCTCCTGACTGTGAACTAAGTTAACTATATTAGGTTAACTAAGCTAGCCAGTTGATCTAATTTTTTTAAAAAAGGAAATGTTCAAAGAACAACAGCATATCTTACTAACTGCTATTCAGAATCATGCTAGTGCTTGCACGTGGAAAGCAACAGTGCTGGGGAGAGCTCCCAAAATACTTCAGCATTTGCATTCATCTTGAATAATCTACTGGGCCCGTTTTCACTGATTGACTTAAGATATATATCTTAAAATACTGACATCTAGATCAGCTTCAGGAAAATGATTGTAGTGGACTGTAAGCTTATATACATAAATTTCTAGTATTGCTATTATTCTTACAAGTAATTATTAATATAAATATTTTGCAAGCCCACTTGAGAGCCAATATTACACGTATGCCTTCCAATGAAATTGGTTAAGAATATTTCTAAGATGTGGCCACAGGCACTATCATCATTCCTTTTACTATAGGAAAACAATATGGGATACTTCTAAAAGAATATTTCCAAACACTGTAGCATAATACAAGCACTATAGCACAGATAATTACATATTAATATATAAACTTGAATAGTGATTGTATGTGATTCTTCTTATTTAAAGTTTATTCAGTCAAGATTAGTGTCAGGCACTTAGCTGCATGGTATGGGACTACCCTCTGATAACAGACACATTTGTGCTGAAAGCTCTGTGTTGCTGTGCTGAAGCCTCTGGCCTATTAGGTTTCTACTGAATTTGAGAGCAGGATCAGCTAGAAACCTAGGAACCATTCTGAGACAAAACCCCAATGTCAGTGTGGCTGTTCTTTCTACTTGCTGAGCCAACATCTGTGCATGGCTGGGTTCAAATTTTGCTTTCAAAGGTGGACACGGAAAATTACATCACCAGGATTAATGCAGTTAGTGTAAACGTAGCTGATAGCAGAATTTATTAGTGTACTTTCTTCACACAGCCACAGTATAAATGTACAGCACTTAAAATTAAAATCATGACATAAGGAAAAGGGACTGCCCATAAATACCAAGCAGAATTTGGCTGATAGCATTGCAGAAGCTGCAGGAATTCAGTGAAATCCTAATCCTCTGATTCTCATAAACAGCAGAACTCGTCCTGCATGAATTAGTCGCCGTATGCTCCATAGGGCACAGACTTCCTACAGCACAAAGGTACCTATGGACAAAACGAAGACCCGTGGCAGTTCCCTGACGTGCCCTTCTAGTATTTCTCTGCTCTGCGGCCACCCACATCTCATCCCTTTCCAGCAGAGGCAGGTGCCTCTGGAGAGACATGACATCAGAATAATCAGGAAACAAGATATCTGTCCTGAAGATGCGAATAATTTCATAGCTATTAACACGAACCTGGCAAGGTTATAATATTCCTCTGGTGCCACCTAAAAGTGGACTTACCAAAATAGCAGTGAAAGTCCAGAAGGACTTGCGCTGATATAGGTGATGTACTAGGTGACCTAATTTGTATTTATCTAGTTTTTATCCTAAAAACGTGTGCGCCTTTACGTATATCTGTGCATATCTTTACACAATAACAGATTTTTTCCTCCATAGATTATTAAATATTTTATATATGTGTATGTGTGTATATGTGCATGGTTTGAGAGTCAAAACCTAAAATATTATGTATATTCGTAATTGTGTGTGCATAACGTTACAGTTGGGCATATTTTTACACTTACGTATCTTTCAGACACTTAAAGCACTGTAACAATAACAAAAAGAAAACAGTATCAAAATCTTGAATATACAGGAGCTAACTGAAGGGATAAGCATTGTGCAAAATCTAAACCATATTTTCTCACGTTAAAAGGAAGGATAAATAGCTGCCTTCTCTCTGGGCTGCGCACTATTTCCGTTGAGTACCTATTATCAAATTTTGGTTACATATAAACACGATATACTTCAGAGATTCATTGAAAGCACATATTAATGTGAAGTATATGCATCAGAGCAGAAAGACAGTTATAAAAAAGGCACCATGAATATAAACTGAATAAAGGTACTAAGGGAAAGAAGACTTATTCTAACTAAAGGACACATCCTGCTCTGTCTTTGGATGCACCCAAACATATCGCTACCACCTTCGGATCATTTAAGGTACGGTTGCGCCGATATAAGCTAGGAGAGCACTGAGGCCACAAGTGTCCTCATTCCGACCCCAGAACGGTGAAACTTGTCTTTCTTACCTGCTCGGCTGCCTCGGGGTCTATCGGGCTCTGGAAGGGCGGCACGGCAAACTGTATCTTCTTGGGGCTGTTGGGCTCCATGGCGCTGCCGAGGGCGGAGAGCAGCGAGAGGAGCCGGGAGCTCCTGCAGCGGAGGCTCGAGGCTCCGCTGTGCCCCCGGCGCCCCCCCCCTTGCCCCACATCCACGGAGAGGCCGTTGCTCGACTTTTTTTTTTTTTTTCTTTCCTCCCTCTCCTCTTCAGTCCTTCAGATCCTCTCAGCACAAAGCTGAAAGGAACAATAAGCTAATTGTGCGCCCGCTCACTTCCACACATGCCAAGCGTTCACTCAGAAGCTAATTGAGAATGCAATACTAGCCCGGCATGGCCTGGTGCCCTGGGATTTGCAGAAGAGAATCTCTCCGCCGTACATTACGAACTGGCTGCGCAAAAGTGCAATGCAAGCTCCCTCTGAGCATTGCTGATGGGCTCTTAATTATTGATGAACACAAATCAGGAAGTTTTCAGATTTTGGGGGGTGGAGGTAGCGGGAGGAGTGGATGCGCCTATTCCATCACTGCTGCAGTGTGCCAGGGCCGCTCTCCTCTCCTCACGTGGCAAAATGTTCTCTGCCCCTTCAAACTGTTTCTCAGCCTCTTCCAGGAAGATTTTTGATGATGATGCTAAACGGATTAAACATATTTGGGTTTGCACCTCAGGCTAATTCAGATTTAGGCTGCAATCGCCTCTGATAGGATCCATCTCATGTAGCATCAGATGCTGAAAACTTTTCCTTAATGCTGCCTTAGCATTCCTCTAAGAGTTCATACCCTTGTACTAGGGTACCAGGGTAAGTGGAATATAGGATTCACTGGAGATGGTATTTTCTCTTCACCAGCCCTGGAAAAAGTAAACCCAGACTAGGTCTCACTTTAAGGTGGCTAAAACTCAGAGGGTCAAATTTAATTGTGAGGTACAAAATTTCTCAGATCAGAGGAAGCCTCATGAGCTGTCTTAAGAAGGAAGGGAAAGGCCATTAGCCAGAGCAGAGAGCTACCAAATGAATGTCACAGGGAAGAGCAGTCACTCTAGCACAGTCAGATCTCTGAGCAAGAGGAGCTCAGGAGCTATGAGACAGAGAAGCTGCAAAATCCAGAGCTATGATCAAACATCACCAAAATGCAAAGGAATCTGAAAACACACTCTGGTCTAGGCCTCTGAAAACAGTAGGGATTTTCACAGTTCATCAGAGGTTTATGCTAAAGCCAGTGAGTATTTTACCATCCATGCCCAGCCTTGCACTTCCACCTAAACCCGAGTCCAGGATGGATGGGTTGTTTGGCTCTGGCGTACACAAATGGAAGTTGTTAATGCAATAACAGCATACCAGGGTATTTCTGGATGGAGACAGACACACAGGCAAGCTGAGGAACCAGAAATAGCCCAGGAGGGGGGAATACAGCCACGTTAATCAGTAATGGGAAAAGTTCATGGCAAAGGTAGAAAGGTCCCTCCCTGCCTACCTGAGCACGTCCACGTGCCACGTGGCTCCCAGACGACGGCGAGGAGCTGGGAGAGACACCGATGACTTCGGACCAACAACTGGCTTGATGTTTTGTCTAGGCAGGAGCAGGCCATTTGGGGCAGATATTAGGAAGCTGTGGTTTACGATAGATGCTGAAAGGGCAGACGAGAAGCAGGGGGTTCATTACTGTAGAACACACCGTAACGTAATAGGTTTTTATATTCGGCTATTTTGCTTCGCTAACAGAAGATGGGTAGAGAGCAGAATGAACCACCACAGGGAGCATGTCTCATCTGGTGGTGCTTCTCCTATTAGATTTATTGTGGTAGCTTATGTGGCATTAACCTAGAGTCATAGAACCATAGAAAAGTCCAGGCTGGAACGGACATGCTTCCATGTTCTGTTGAAAGTCGGGCCTTTGATTCCAGCTAATCTGGACCTCCTCAAGCCGAGCCTTGAATGTTTTCTGCAAATGGCTAAGTAATCGGTTTCATTTACAAGTGAGAGACAGAGAATAGTGTCAACACCAACATTTAGTGTTTTATAAGACCATTTTAAAGTCTTTCCTACTCCTACAAGGACCCGTCATAATGGATTTTATAGACTTTCACAGATAATTTGAGCCAGGGCGCAAATCCAACCATATTGCTAAGAGGCTACAGGGAAAGAAAGCAAGGCACGTAGAGCTTTCCCCAGTGATGGTCAAGGAGCTGTGGAAGGATTTCAGAACAGCACAATGATCCAATTTCACAAGTCCTACAGGAGCTGATGCGCCACTTCCTTCCATGACAGCTTTAAACACAGAATATTCTTCCACAGACAGGGATATAGACAGATGTGAAGTTGTGGTTTGTCTCTGGTAAATTTTCATGCTCAGAAGAAAATACTAAGTTTTGTTGGGCATGACTGTCTAAAGGAATCATGTCTCAAAGTTGTTGCTAGCAATAGTATCTGAGAAACAAGTTCAACGTCATAGGAGAAACATAATAAACACACCAAGATGATCAGTTCTTGAAGGGTTCGGAGTGGAGCCAAGGGCAGGACAAGGCATAAGGACAGATCCTCGATGGGACTGGTACACCTTAGATAGACCTGCTGGTGCGACACGTGGAGATGCGTGCCCTTGCGGCTCTCCTCTCCGTGCTCATTCAGAGACAGCTGCCAAGCATTCCTCACATCACTGTAACAATAAAAGTATTTTTAAAACAGTATAAGGGGCATATTTCAGAGAGCACTCGGATATAACGTTTCATGATTACTGCATCAGCTCACTCTTGCACCTAATTTGCAGCCCTGGATGTCTCCAGGCAGAAAGTGCTTGCATTTTCTATAGACTGCATCATAGTCTGGGGAAGAGCTGAAATGCATTTAAGTACTGCCAAATCCTTTTAGCTCACTTTCTGTTTTTAGTGCACTCTCCACAATGTTTCGAATTCCTTTATGATTCAGCTAAGACTAACATGGAAGAAGAAAATAATAATAGCTGTCTAGGATTTTCTATGTCATTTATTAGGTCTTGATATGAACCAGTGCCTTTCTATTTATCCTACATTAACAATGAGCTATGCAAACATTCAGAGCACCATTCCTGGTTTAGAGATTTTCTCTATTGTATATTGGGGGGGCTAAGTTTTTTTCACAGCCAGAGATGCATCCTGCTCTCTCTTTACCGAATTTCTGCTACGGCTCTGGGCTGTCTCCGCTCCGATCAGGGATTACTGAGGTATCAGACTGGCGAGGACAGGAACAGCTTATAAAGCCAGCGGTGGATGGGCTCCGAGTGCCGCCAGGACGCGCTCGGCTGCGCTTCCCCGTGCACCTGGGCTGCCTCCGTGGAGAAGGACGCAGCTTCCCACCGGCAGCTCCCCCAGCACATCTCTTAGGGAGCAACTCTAACCTCGCATTGTGCCCACGCGTATGTGAAAACCTTTACAAGGATATGTTGAATCGGTGCTTTCACTGGGCTCTCGGCTGGGGCCTTTCTACTTGTCAGCCTCTCCTCAAGGCACTTGGCTTAGCACAAAATATACAGGGGGTTTTACAAATAAGGCAAAAACATAGCTACCTCTATTTATAAGATTTCTTTGGAGGAGGTGATTACTCTGTAGCAGTAATAATTGCAATCATAACAAGTGCTGAAGCTACGTGAATTTGCGGACACTATCCACGTAAGTGTTCCTCCTGGATTAACAGCTCTCCAGACTCCCAGGTAAGGTACAAACATTAGCTGGTAGGTGCTGTCTACTGCTATGCAAAGAATCAGGAAATCCAAAGCATAGGAAATGAGCTGGACTAATGGGGCATAACCTGATTAGTCAAGAAATCCACGTCTAGTACAGGCTATCATTCAGTACTATAAGGACTAAAATTCTGCTAACTTAGTTTTATATACGCATTTAAGCAGAAAACCATACTACAATTCAGTTCTTTACCAAGAGGGTAAATCTAATATATTTTTCAGTAAACAGAAACTGCTCTTGGCAGTTTACATAAACTTCAGAATTAAATTATATTATCTTCTTTTCATATTAAATCTTCAATGCAAAAACTGACTGCAACATTGAATTAAACTATTTAAGTATAAAAATGAGTATTTACTGTTAATTTTTTAAAAATCAAAATACAAAACATGGAGAAGCTGAACAACAATGAACTTCCACAGTTTCAGAGCCCAGATGAGAAAACTCAGTGCACAAGCACAGGCTGCCTCGTTACAAAAGGAAAGCATTTTTAAAATCCGGGCTTTTGAGTTGGAGACTTAAGATTTTCAGTTCCTCTATTTCCTCCTCCTCCATCTCAGAGGACAAGATCAGACCTAGAGAAGTCCAAGTCCCCAAAGAGCTTCCACATGGGAATAAGTGGGGAACGGCAGCACAGGCCGCAGGGAGCAGCGAGCGGAGCCGCCGGGTGGCAAGGAGTGACCCCAGTGGTGGCTGAGCCCTCGCTGGTGGGACACAAACCCGCACTGCCCAAGGCAGGGCTGGTGGCACCAGCAGGCCCAGACGGGTGCAGGGCACCAGCCAGGACACCAGGGCCTCCCACCGTGAGGTAAGAGACAGGACCAGAGACAAGGTCAAGGCACAAGTCCAAGGTCCACCAAGACGACTGGCTGAAGGGCAGTTTCGTAGCACCTAGGTCCCTCATCCCTCCAGGAGCTGAGGCTGGAGGGGGCACAGGCTCCTCTACACCTACGCTTAAGCAGAGCTGCAACCCAAGGCCTCAGGCTGTACTGAAACGGGAGGTGGAAGCCCAGGCAAGGCTAGTCAGGGCCATCAAGGTGCAATGAGGGCCCTAAAAACAACAACAGCTAGCTAATGTCAGCTTTAATTGTTACAAAATTGGTTCAAAACAAAAGCCTCCTCCTTCACCCCTCCATTTTTTCATACAGGCTGTGCTTAAATCATGGAATATGTTGCCACAGGATGCTGCGGGTGCCAAAATTTTGCCCAAGCTAGAAAGGCAATTAGAGAAATTCTTGAAAAAGCAATCCACCAAGGATAGCACCTTGGAAATCAGGAAATCCGTCCGCCCGGGATGCCGAGAGCCGCAGCAGCAGACGGACAGTCGTCACACTTCCCTGGCGCCACCTCCGCGCCACACAACACCGATCCGTGGGGCCAAAACACCAACCTGCTTGGACCTTTGCTTTAATCTACTGCGGCCAGACTTACGTTACTAATTGCAACAGCACTGCTGCCATTTCAGTCACATTACTAAGATCATTTTCATTGTTTGGGTCAAAGTGAAAAACATGGCTAAATGGGAATTTTCCTGCAGAAGGAACAATAACAACAATACTTTTCAGTACATATTTCTAAACTATTTTTAAAAGTAATTTTAACCTAAACTTTATTTAATCTTTAGGACGGGACAATGACCTTTAAAATAATTTCCCCTGCCCTTATACTTTGAAAATAAAAGCTAAAATTAAAGCCAAGCACGCAAAACAAAAATACTTGCGTAGATTTTTTTATTATTATTTTAAAGAAAGTGACTGTTAAACTTCCTAAACCTTGCCAACAACTGATGTAAAACAGGAACTTTTTTAGAAAATAATGAGAAACCTCACATAATTACATAAACCTTCACCTGCTTAGAAATACCATTGGAATTAGGTAGCTCACACACTCGGGACAATCCTCACTTTTCATCATATTGCCATCTCATTTACTGTAATTCATTCACTTTACCACTGCACAGGCTGCCCCCTTTTACCCTGCCAAAAAAAGGTGTTTCTCTGTATCATACTCTCCATCACTCAGGAAACTTGCATGCACAATGCTATGTTGAATTATCAGGAGACGGTGTTTCTTTTAAAAAATTGTCATTTCGCTCATTTCACTTACGTCTACATAGAAATTTATTCTATAGAATGAATGTAAAGGATCACAATCATATCTAAAAAAAGTCACATCTTAAAATATCCAAGTAAATTTGCATTAGACCAAAGTAATTGTATGTACTTCCTGTTTCCCCTAAGACTCAGATCATGTATTATTTTGGATATTATCATGTTAATTCAGACGAATGTGTTGTATTTGACTGAAGCCATGCAGAAAAGGGTTATTTTATTTTAGAATATCACTCAAGATTCTGAATTTTTTGTCCACTATAGAAAAACATTCCTCTAAAACACAGAAATCTTCCAGTAATTCAGACATGGCTCTGTTTTTCACTGGTGGTTATGGCTTGAATGACTTGTACTCTCTCTCTCCAATCAGTATTTTCCTGAGGGTGATTTCACTGAAGTAGATTCGAATGTGATAAAACTGAATGAAAGTGTTCTAACCCATGCCATATTTTACGTATAAGCCATTTGCTCAGAAGTATACAAAATTCAGAAGATAAATGCTGTCTCACAGGATTTCAAGTAACCCCACTGATGAACCTCAGTGGCTGCGCTGCATCAACAAGGCTTTAACTTTTCCCCTTAAACAAGGCAGGAGGTAGCAAATAAATCCTTAGGAAACACGGAGCACCGATCTCACCTTAGGCACCTCCACAAAGGCAGGCTGCCCAGCTCACACACCATGTGTTTGGAGAGAAAGCACAAGGGCCTCTGCAAAGGCTGCCTTCAGCCTACAACCCCCAGCTTCATGTTCCTGAAGGCAGCTGGTAAATACCAAGACCATCGTCCTGGGGAAGTTTGGAAAAGCACCCAACATGATCTCTTGCATAATTACTGGTTTTGTTCACCAGAAACTTGACTGAGTGGCGTTTGTTAGACGCTCATAACCATTTCAATCCACATATAATTCACTAAATTGCAGGCTGGCAGAAAAAAAAAAGACATTAATTTGTAAAGAAACATTAAATAAAAGAAACACCATCCTTACTCTGCAAATGATTACAGCTCAACTGACATGAGTAAAAGGGTAAGCCACCCAGGTTAGGCATATGCCCCATGATAGTGACAGCTGCTCCTAAGGCACAAGCCGAAATGTCAATACAGGTTGATACCAGGCCTGTTTAGTTTATATGATAGCAGTAAGTTATCATCTTAAGGAGTTTATTGATATGTGTACTTCTAGAAGTACTTCACTCAAAATTAGATAGGAGTGTCTTTAAAAAGACCACAGTTGTATTAGGATCATAAAAAAAAAAAAAAAAGTCACATGCTCATGTATTCATGCTCTATTTTAAATTACGCCAGACACTAAGCTGCTTTGCACCAGATGAATGAAAAATTGGCACTATATTCATTTCTCAGGATATATTAATCACTTGCCTTTGTTTTGTGAAGATCAAATGTTCTTATAAGCCCCAGGTGCTCTGGGATCTTCATTTACCCGAGTGATCTGTCTGGTCAAAGCAAAACCCCTGGCTCCAAACGTGTTTTCCTCTGCTGCTCCACGAAAGCCAGACTTGTCACCTTTCTTGAAATACTGCTTTGAGAAATGCAGGGTTTATATTAACAGTAGAATGTGCTAATTAGTCTGTGTGGGGGAAAAAAGGAGCCTCTGCTACTCCAATTACTGGAGGCAGCTTGGGCCGTCAGCAGCCGCGGGCATCCCGCTCTGGCTGGAGATTCTCCAGGTGCCATTTGGGAATGGAACTACGTTCTGGGACAAGATGCAAACGAAAGCAGCAACCTGCTGCGGCTTACAACCACGTATAAATTGCATGCACAAATGCTGCTGGAGTTTATATTTCAACTTTTCAACATGTAGGATGAGACTTTCAAGAAAGCTCTGGCTCTTCTCACAGGGACAATTCTGAAGAGAGGTCAGGAGCAAATTCTTAAGAGCTGAAACAGGAGCCAAGAACTTTAACAGTTTGGTTTTAAAATGTCAACAGTTCTCTTTATATACTTGAGAAACCTGTGATATAAAATTGAGTCCCACAGAACAACTGAAAACTTTCTGAAACCCCAAACCCAAGATTTCATGCCATGTATAGTCATTTATTTTCATTTTGCTTAAAAGTAAAACACTGACAAAGATTATAGGCAAAATAAATATTTTATTGGTTTAATATAGTTTTTTTCTTTTTTTTATTTTTTTAAGAAATCAGCCCTTGTGTGTGTCTTCCTAACACAATTACACAATTAAAATCTTTTAGATAAACTTTTCCATGTAATATTGTTATATTTGAGACTATTTCTGATTAAAGACCTCAACACAGTATAAAGTTTCAGTAGCTGGAAGTGGCAAAGGAGAAAAAAGAAATTCCAAGCTCGGTCAGATGGGATATCACATATCTGCTAAATGTCTACTTGACCACAAAAACCCTCCAATGACTTCCAATTTTCTCCATCGGAACAAACACGTGTTCACTAGGCAAACTGAAAATAGAATCAGTGAAGGATGGGGAAGGAAAAGAAATGTTTCCATCTTCCCCATAATACAAGCAAGGTCATTCAGCCATTCCAAATTATACATCCTAATTGCTTTCAGAATATCAGGACTTCCATTGCATTCTGTTAATATAAAGCAGAAAAAGAACTTTTCTTGATATAATTGCAACAAAGGCTTAAAATAAGGCACTTTTCCACAGAAGGAGGGGCAAACAGTAAGTAAGCAAATAAAATTAGTTAAAAGTTTTCTTCTACACAAAGATAAGGCGTTCAGTGTCAGAACTTTAAGTAGTTTTAAGTAACCTCATGTCATTCTACCACTCTGCTAATAGTAACCTCCCCAAGAATTAACAGCAATTTTTACAACAGGATTTTTCCTTCTTTTGAAGTGGCACTAAGTAACAGCAGTGGAAAAAATTATTGGTTGTTTCAAGCTCTCAAAGTGGATCAGTTATTGCACAATAAATACCTCATAGAGGTCAGTGTTTTTGTTTCTTTGTTTTTTAAAAAGCTAGGCTGAATATTTGTGTGTTATTTATAAATTGTTTATGTCTGGAAATCTTCAAGTTTCATGATACATCACTAAAGAAATTAGCTACATAAAAATTTACAACAGGGACATACAAATAAATACAAAACCTTTTGGACAGCCACAGTTTTGTTGATGCTTTATGGAAAGTAATAAACTAGTTAAAGTGTCTAAGGCTTTATATACGAACTCAAGAGAAAGTATGCATCAGAGAACCAAGCGTTGAATACAGTAGCCTATCTCAGCAGCTTCAACACCTCCTGAAGCAAGAATAGCTTGACACTTTCACCAGTGCATGCCGCTCAAAGCAGAATTCCGCAGCATTTCGGACTACATCCAACCTTACAGAAAAGGGGAAGCAAGATGAACATCAAAATTAGATTTTCGGAAGTCGGCTTGCTGTCAAATGCCTAACTAGATACTTTGCTAATATCCATATCTAAATCAGGCAAGCTACAGACATCTTCTAGCATGATCAATTCACAAACAGAATCACCATGGAGAAGACTGAAAAAAAAGCAAGGACACTACACTAAAACTTGACAGTAGAAAGGACCAAGTTGTAAAACAGTTGATTTTCTGAACTATATAAACTATCCGTGTTCTCTGTATTAAACGAAACTTCAGTTTTGACTGGTCACATTTGAGAGGAAAAGTAAAATCAAAGCAAGACTTTAGCTAAGATATTCCATGCAATAAAAATAACAAAAAAGCCCACTTCACTGACCCTTCGAATTGGCCTAGCAGACTCCCAAGAATTACCTGTAGTACTCGCTTCACGGCTGTGAATCTTGTTTTGCAGTTGCAGATCTGCTCGGGGACGATACAGCTGCTAACAGCCCACTTACTAGTTCGCGTCGGATTTCACCAACAATAGATTCCTTGATCTGAAAGGGATTAGACAGAGTTTTAAGGTCAACGAGTTATATAACCAAAAGGCTAAAACTGAATAGTATTGCAGACGTGTTTGACATTAGCAACACAAGAACAAATGCAACAGCAGAAAGTCAACATTATAAAAATGCAAATGGAAAAAGTAAGAGGGATTCTCTTGGACAATAATTCTAAAATAATTCTGAAGTTCTTCAAATCTTAACAGTTGTAGACTAAAGTAGCTTATCTTTCCAGATGGAAGTTGTAAAAATAGTGCATCAGAAAATATGTATCAAAAAGCACCACAAATGCACCATTTTGCATCATTAGTAGTAATCACTCAAAAGAGAAGACAGGACCTATTTACCTCACAAATTCAATATGTAGGAGGAAAGTTCCAAGTCTTTGAACAGGAGCTGCTGCTTTAATATAAATCAAAGGCAGATAATCCTAATTACATACTTTTGGCAGCAAAGACAAACAAAGGACTTGAACAATTGCTCACATCATCCTCTGGCCACTGGGATAATAGCTGTGCCAGAAAAGACTATTTTTCACATGATCATGACTAAGTATTTACCCATTAAGTTTTACATAAACAAAAAGAGGAGTCAGTACTAGAAGGCATCTAACTGTGACTAAGGGCCGAAGAAAGATAGATCACTGAAGCCTACAGTAAAAGAAAAGAAAGCAAGAGGACCCGGGAAAAAAGTAGTTCTGCAATAACATATTATGCTGAAGGGGGGAGGAGGAGGCCATAAGATCAGATGAGTAATATGAGCTGCTCACAACTACAAGAAATCTTCAGTGCCAACTCATTTTTTGAATGGCCTTCACTTAAGCAACCATTAACAAGTCAGATATGGTTATAAGGACAGAGGAGAAGAGCCACAGTGAAAGAATCGAAGCAGGAATAGAAGCTGGACAGCCAGGGTCAGTAGCATTAATCATCCAGGTTAAAGTTTTCTTTTTCTTACAAGAAGGACAAGTAGATTCTTAGGTTAAAATAAATAAGTAACCAAAAGCAAAACAAAGCAAACAAAAAAAAATTGCTGTCCATAGTGTCACTTCACAAAGCAGCTTTTCAGGCGGTAAGTAGTTGTAATGAACATGAAATGTGACAACAGAAAAAAAATGCTAATGCCAGTTTTCCAGTAATAAATCCCTTTTATGTTCCAATATCCCACTAATACCATGGGAATCACATTTACTCAAATGGGGCCTTTCTAGAGACCCTGCCTCTCTCTGTGGCACTCTGGACATCTCGCAATTATTCTTGTCTGTCTTTCAAGAGGAGCTCCCCTCTTCCTTCCTGGTGCGTCAAGAGGATTAAGCAACAACGTCAGAAGGGTGGCAGCAGAATAGCAAAGGGTTATTTATCCCCTTGTCCTCATTGGCAAGCAATTCAATCCCTAAACCATTAGTGGCAAAGTTCCTCATTTCGTTATCGCCCTGAAACAAGAAGTAGCTCAGGGAAGGCAGCTCGACTGTTTGCTGATTAACAGACAAAAGAAAAGCCAGTGTGTAACAAAACCCGTTCCTCTGATGGTCACAAATTCTGGGGTTGCCATGCAAATGCACACACACACATGCAAAGCTTGGGGAACACTGTCAATTTAATGAGCACCTTTTGGATTTAAGAAACATGGAAATACACCAGGAAATTCAACAGGAGAGCGCAGTGACAGACAGTTTTGTGAGAACCATGCACTCCCCTGGCTATCTGGCAGGTCACTGCCATCCTTCTCCCTCCACTCCTTTCACAGGTTGGCGTCCTGAATGCATTACAAAATATGCACCCTGTGCCCTTCCCTAACAGGATAGCTAAAAATAAACACCACTTTCCACAGCAAACCCATAAAAGCTTCCCGAATTAGCAACGTAAATGGTCTAGCACGACAGACAGTCTTGTGACAAGGCCTGGACTAGAAGCGAAGCAGCTCCCGCGCTCTTCACGGCCCTTCGCACTCAACCTTGGCAAAGGTGCCCTTCACCCCGGGCAAGTGCTGTGCCCCTCCAGCTCCCCCGCCTCCTCCAGCCGCCACCGCCTCCTCACGGCGCCGACCCCTGCGCTGACTCGGTCCCATCCGCGCGTGACAAGCGCCAATATTTGTCTTTGTGATTACAAACGATGTAGGACAAGGTGCAGCCTCCCTTCCCTCTGCGCAAAGCACAGCAAGGACCCAGCAGGACCAGAGACGCCAGCAAAGAGCCCCCCAGGGCTTCAAGGAGCTGAACGGAAATGTCATTGTTTCAAAGAGGGGGACCCACTCGCCCACGGTAGCAGTTTTACTACAGTAAACCAGTACTGCACCATTACCACAATATGGTCTTGCCACTAAGTAGCAAACTCCTTAATGTCCCATCCCGGCACTGTGAGAGATGGGCTCTTCAGTTGGTGCTGGGGCGGGCACATAAGTCTTTTCACTTTCCTCATACTCACGACTTGCAGTATCTTTTGCACACAGAATTACAAAGACTATCTGTTACCCCATTTTCTTCTTAGGCCACTTATTTGCAGCAGTAAATGGTGAGTTTTTATGCCCACATATTGTGTGCTAAGTCCAAGAGCCTCTGCAAGGGAAGTGGTTCAGCATTTTTTGATCAGTGTTGAAATTGAACCAATGTAGATTTGAACTGGAAAGAGAAAAGGTAGAGATTCTCTATCAAATCATCTATCAGTTCTAAAAAGCTCTTAAAAAGAGATGCTGACAGAAAATCATACATTTCTTTAAGATATAACTCCACAGAGTGTCATTTACAGTGCAGAACCATTAGCCAAGACAAAACCCACACTACTGCTGGACAGAAAGCTTTCCAACACGTGCTGCACTGCACAAGAGCCCAGTGAGGTGGCCAGCCTGGCTACGCTCCTTCTAATACCGGATCCACAAGCCAAGTAATAAGCATTTCATGTGGGATTCCTGTGGGAGTCAGGCCACGTTTTCACCAAAATAAGAGGACCACTGTTCGGCATTTTAACATTTTACATTGTTGTAGGCTTTTCTGTGGGAGTCTGTGCATTAACACCAAAAATTAGCATCAACATTTTTGGATTTTTTTTTTTTTTAAGCCAGCAAATAGTCACAGGTCAAAGCTCACAAACATTACAGTCCACCCAAGCATCCTCTGAAACACTGCTGAGCTTCTGTTTCCTCACCACAAGGTCAGGCAGCCACTGAGAATGGGAGCAATAAGCAATGGTTTAGCATTTGGACATGCCCATAGCAAATGTGCGCACTAACAGATTTCTTTCTTTGAACAAAACTGGAATTCCTTGGGTAACAATAGGGCTACTTAAAGACGACACATTTCAAATTATGGTATGCTTTAGCTCTTACGAGATACAAAAGATTTTCCTGTGCAGTGTTTAATAGCATATGCAGACTCTGCAAAAATCAGCACATGCTTCCAGCCAATGCATCTTCACTCTGACACACAAAACTCCCCATTTCAGAATTGAAGCCAGTCTGAAACCGGCTGCCAATACAGCCAAAGTGGGGAACAAGTTTTCTGTGCGCTCAAGCATTTGTGAAGTGAGTCAGGCTCAGTCATTTCTTTGCTGACTATTCACATTTGAACACGACTCTCTCCGTTCAGCACAGATTCTTCTGGAGTTACAGGGCACGCAGCATCGTGCAACCCAAAGAATATGCTCTGTGCTAAGAGAACACACCTTTATTTGCTACCAATTAATAATGTTGAAGAGGAACTTTCACATAGGAATAATCTCAGAAAAAAAAAAGTGTTGACTGAAGTAGCTCTGCACCTTGTCTCCAGGTCCCTTTATTGCCTCTGCTGCTGTTACATTTGAATTATAGCTCTCCCCATCTCTCTTGACAGCACCCAACCACGAACCACTCCTCTGAAATGCAAGCTTTTATAGAAGGGCTGGACATGATGCAAATGCAATATCCTGGTTTCACATCAGAATCAACAACAAAGTACAAGACGTGAGCAATCTCATGTGCGGGTAGTCGTGGAACAACGGGTTAGGAAACTTTTTAAAAAAAAAAAAAAAAAAAAAAAAAAAAGAGGGGGGATGAAAAGAAAGCAAATGGGCTGAAAACTGAAAGAATCTGGGATGCCTGGGCAGATTTCATGACATCTCCATATCAAGGCCCTTCCCAAGGCTCCTTCTTACTCCAGCTACTTTGGGAAGACCGAGGAGGGCATGGAGAGAAGCCACACGCCACTCTGCCACACTCCTTCCTTCCCCGGGATCCCAAGCAGGGGTGTAACACTGCAGCACCACCAGCTGCACCGCAAAACCCAGCAACGACAACGTCCCTCAGCCCTCGGCGCGACGCCCAGCAAGGAGGCCCCGAGCCCAGCGCTACCCACGGAGCAGCGCCCGCACTCCAGGCAGCTCCGCACCCCCTAAGTCACCCCCGCCTCCGCGGAGGGCCCAGCAGGAGCTGCTGCCGGGGAGGGCTCGGAGCTGAACTAAGGCTCTGCGGCCCAACAAACCTCGCTGGGTAAACGCTAAGCGACTACGCCCGGCCGAACGCACGGGGAGGCAAGTCAAGAAGGCCTCTCCACTGCGCAGGGACAGGCACAGCAGACTCTTAGGGTCACACAGGGAGCAAGGGGAGCCTTACGGCAAAGGCCATGGGTTCCCAATCCCCACTTCTGCACTGATGACAGATACACTACATTCTTGCACTGGTGCTGCTTTTGCAAGACAGTTTCTTTTGCTTCTTTTTCCCATCTACACTACTTGTCATAGGCTTCTTTTTGTGCCATTGAAAACAAACAAACAAATACAAAAAAAAAAAAAAAACCCACAAACAAACCCCCTCCCAGTTTTAGTCCTGTTTTCTCACCTGGCCTTTGGGAGCCAGGCAACCCTTCACTGGCAGCCAAAAAAAAACTCATCCAAAATCATCAGTCTTAATGTCTGAAATAACTGCTCATCTAACCTCAGTTTGCTTTAGTTATACTCAAGAATTGTTAGTGGTTTGAGAAGAGGGACTAGCAAAGTATTTTTAATGTTTACTACAGAGTTGTTTTAGAAATGATATTTCATCAAATTAACTCCAGAATGGCATTTCTGCATGCAAACATGACAGAATTTTTCACTTAGGAATCTGAAAACCTACCAGTCAGCCAGTATTTGAGATTGCAATTTCTTTCTCATCTAGACTTACAGGAGTAACTAGCTACTTATGTGCTAACTACTATCCCTAAAAAAATGTCTATTGCTTTGGACAATAATATTATTGTGGCTTGGACATCTAGTGACAAAAACACTGTGACTGCAAGCCCTGAGGCTTTAAACAAGGACAGTAGTAATACTGAGCCTTGGCTTGAGAAGGAAGAGACAAAACTCCAGCGGCCAGGAGTTAGAGAGAGGCTAACTTTCAACTTCAGTAAACAGTTCAAATGTCTGAGATGCAGAGCTTCTCTCCTCACCTCTCGTATGACCTGCTGAAGCTCCTCCTGCTCCACGCTCTTGTGGATTTCATCAACTGAAGGCACCAGCGGGACTTTTTCAAGTTTGCTGTGTTCCACCTCTGCCTTGGAGTCCACCAGCTCCTCGGGGCTTTCTGCTTGCTGTCCAGCACCTGCTCTCACAGGGGGAGCTGGCGTTAAGGCCACAGAGGCTCGGTATAACTTCTTGCTTTGACTCTTAGACTTTCCTGTTAGCTCAGAAGATCCACCACCAGCTTTCCTACTCGCATGACTGGAGCACACTGAAGAAGAATCAGAGTTTCCATGAGAGAACACAGACTCTGAACCCTCTGCTGGCAGAGTTTCCAGTCCAACATCTCCCAGTCCTAAACCCAATTCAGACTTCAGAAATGACTGCTCTCGAATAAGCTCAGAGACCTAAGGATTCAGAAAAGAAAGAACTCCGATTGAGCAATAAGCATTAAAAACAAACAAAAAAACCCACAAAACAAAAAAACACCACACACACATGTAGACACAGCTAAGCCTTATTATTTATTCCATCACTTACTCATTCTCTCCATGTAACAAATACAGATATAAAATAAACATATACTTTGCTTCATGACTGCAAAGAGGATCATAAAAAGGAATAGGCTTTTTTGAACGCCAAAACAAATAAGCACTGTGGCAGCTCCCCAAGCCACTGACTTTTGCAATATGGATGCATCCTGTCAGAACCATTGACAAGAGAAAAACATAAAGGCTTGATTTGTTTTAGCAAAGCAAAACAATTCAAGTCTGTTCACTTTTTTTTTTCCTACAGTCTTTGAACTACTTGCCTTCAGTAGCTTGGGAATTTACACAGGACTCCTAGCATAATACTCTCAGAAAAATAAGAGATGATTTTCCTAGCAGAATAGCTTCTACATATTCCTCTTAAAAACAAATGAGCCTTCACAGCCATCTTCACTTAGGTTAACTTTGCTTAAGAGGAAATGCAGTTGTGCTCAACAGAACTCAGGACCTTCATTAAAAACCCTCAGAACTACTCAAAACCCAAATTCTCTGAAATGGATCAATCTCTTGAATGAATGAATCTCTTACAACCTTCCTTCAGAATTTCTTTAATAAAATAAAATAAAATAAAACATGCAGCTACTTACGGGTTCAATGACATTCAGTGGAGAAGGGCATGAAAGATTATCAGTACTTCTGCTGCCATAAAGACCCTGAAAAATTAAATCAAGTTAAGGCATTTAGGTTTTTCTTTTTTCCACAGCTGTCAGAAGCTAATATTTAAACACACCATGTCACAGACGACTTTCTGTACTTGGAACCAGGAAATAAAGCTGGTCACAGAAAGTTTATTTCAGTCATTTTTAAAGCCCTCTTCTATAAAAGGATTTACAAACACAAAGATATTTACATGGTTAAAAGAATGCATGTTTGGCTTGGAATCAGAGTAATACCATACTTTCCTGTTCTTCATTTTTTTTCCCAATCACAAAATACTGAAGAGGAAGATGGGGCCGGTGCTGCCTCTACAGAAGAGGACTGGCTAAGAAAGAGAAATGAAGCCCATGAAGGACATATGATACTTTTTGCCTGTGTTGCTTTTGTTTGGGTGGTGACAGAGCTGCAGCTGAAGAACAGGACCAGTCTTTTGCTAAATGAAGAGGAGAAAAAGTCTTTTCCTCCTCCTCTTAGCTTCTATGGGAGTGACTTTGTGAGCAGAGCTTCTCCCCTTGTTTGGCAGGGAGCCACACAGCCATCCGAGCAGATGTGGAAGAGCAGAGGAAAAAACCTGAAGACGATAGTACAGCGACCAGCAGAGACAAGAACTACCCATCGTACTTTCCATGGATGGGCAGAGCTGGGGTAGTACAGCCTATCTCTTGGGTCAGAAACACCACATATTTCTCATCTTTCTGCCTTCCTTTCACAAGGAAAGAGATCAGTATAGGTAAACTCCAGATGGACTGCAAGAGATATCTGAGATCCAAGACCTGAATTTCATTCTAGATGGAATGCTGCAAAAGTGATACCTACCATATGTGTCTGAGGTCTGTAAGGTGAAGACATGTGCAGACTTCTCAGCTGGTCTTCCAAAGCCAGCAGACGTTCTTCTAGCTGCATTTCTAGCTCCTGTAGCTCCATGCGGACAGATTTCCTCAAGCTCTGTAGCTGATCAGCTTCATATCTATACAAAATTCATTACAAAAAGAGCAACAGCATTCAGTGCACTCAGCTGCGCTTTGAGGAAGACGTGAATAAAGGACTTCATACAAGAGAACTCAGACTGCAACACAGAAAATTCTTCTTTCACAGAAATCAGTAGAAAGCCCTAGACAGAAGGGAGGTCTTCCTACACTTAAAAGAAACACAGCATAGAGAAAACTACGCAGCAAGATGCTCCATAAATTTTAACTTTAAACACTTAAATATATGCAAACAGAAGAAAACAGATCCAATTAAAAACTGCAACAACAATCGCAGAGGAACACAGCAATCACATAACACTTCGTCTGCATGGTTCTAATTGCCAAGCCAGTAGCAGCTACAATTTGGTAAGGATGCTATCATCCAAAGAAGGCCAACTAATTTCTAATGTATTTACTTTCAAAGTGAATTAGTTAAGAGCTGATTCAATGATATAATGTAAATAAATAAGCAATTTTGAAAATTGTTTAAGATCAATTGCATGAGACTCTTGCTGCAACTGGTGAACACAAACACTTAGAGCCAGACTAACAGATGCCATTTGTAACTTGCTAAGTGGAATCTGTGGGTTGGAAAAGCGACTGAATGCTCACTGTTCACTGAATGCAAGCTGTTCATTATTTATAGAAATCTATTAAGATGGCAGAAAAAATAAGCCTGAAATCTTTAAGACACTTTTTAAACAAACATTTCATGCTAAAAGTCAGTAAAACCAAGTAGGAAAAGGAAGAAAAATAAATAAATAAACAAACTAATGGGAAATATAAATTAGAACAGAACAGAGGGGAATAAACTCTGGAATAATGAGTTGTAAAATAAGACAGTAAACAAAAGTTTTTGGCAAAAACTCAGCTCCAGCCCTTTTAAAACTGAAACTAACAGATTTTTTTTTTAGTGTGATTTGAGCAGCAGAGTACATTTCTTGCAGTGACTAAGTATGATCTCTCTCTTTTTTAGAGGACCAGATTACCTTTCCTCTTCAGTCATGTGCTGATAGACCGTGGTCTGTTGACGTAACATGGTCAATTCCAAATCCATCATTTGGGTTCTGAATAAGTTTAGATTTCGCCTCACCACTTGTAGCTCCTGGAAAGTATTCTAAAAAACAGAGAAAGATCAATCTTTAAAAATCCTTAATAAAAAAAAAATAATAAAGATTCAGGTTCTGTAACTGCATTTGCACACATATTCCCTCAGAGTCAAGCATAATCTCACCAATTTCTGTATACAAAGGTTGTGTGGTAGAACCTCACAACAGTTCAAAAAAACCCCAAACTCATTCACTTTCATTGCCTACTCATTCATTTCATTTTTAGACATATCATACAAAGAGCCGCATGAAAGCCAAAAGGAATTCATTTAAATGTGCAGAACTACAGTTATTTTCAGGATGGAGCCCTTTGTGGAGTCCTATCTCTTTAGAGCAAAGCTTGGGAATTGCCCCAAGTTAGCCCAGCTTGTGGCACATTCAAGGCGCTACCGTGTGCTTCGCTTTGACTGAAAACCACCGTGTGAACAGGGTCACTTACTTCATACAGAGGTAGAATGGATGATCTCTGAGTAGTGTAACTGGTGGCAGCTGAAAGATCATGACCTCTCATCACTGGGTACTAGGAAAGAAGCAACCGTTTGAAATGAGAACACCGAACAACTCTTACACACTCATCTTCTCAAATGCTCACGTACTCCAACAGCAGACACTATTAAAACAACATCCTTCTGGTTCTGCGTTTTCCACTATCCATAAAGCTGTTGGAACAGGAAAAGGAAACTTTGCAAAATGGCAATGCCAGCTCCAAACTGAAGCACATGCAAAGTTTAGCAATGCTAGCATGTTGAAGCTGAAAACCAAATGATTCCCATCTGATACAGTAAGCAGGAATAACATTTTTTTCCTTGCTTCAGGCACGTATGCCTGAAGATGCACTAATCTCAAATGTCTGAGCTAACGATAAAAAGAAAATTGAGTTAAATAAATGTAAGTGTCCCATTTTCAAATCATGATCACAGTCATATTCCTTGTGTGGTTTTGCTCAGTTTTAAGGGTTCTTTTGTTGGTGGTGGTTTTATTTTATCTCAATCTGTTTCCATCCAAGGACCCTTTCATGCTAACAATCTCCTAGGAAAACAAAATTGTTAAAAAAAATTCTATTTGCATGTTGCATCAACCCATGGAGCAACCAGACAAAATTCAGGGGCTGTTACATGTAGAGACATGGCACAAAGAACAGTGGAAACGGCTAAAATATTTACCTTTTCAATCATGAAAGAGAGCTTGTTCAATATCATTTTAAAAGAATTCAAAGGACTATTGCCACGCCATGGAAAAATTGAAGCATATCCATTTGATCAGAGGAGTTTTGCTTCAACATGATCACACCAAGGAGTTGTTTTGTTTTTCCTGTCCCAATTTTCTCTGTTCCTTGTTCTACCAGGAATTTATCTGCTCCTTTTTATTCCTTCCTAAACCCAGGATCGCCCATTGGGAACACCTCAGCTATTTCTCTAGCAGGCCGAGTATGTTGTGGGCCAAGCACAAGCTCAACTGCAGAAACAGGGGCAGCAGATAACAACATATTTAAAGCAAGACATTCTCATACAAATCCACGTACTGGGAAGTGCCAAGCCCCCAAAACAGAACTAGTCTAGACAAATTACACTCGAAGCAGCACAAAGGGGATATGAGCTGTCATTATCTCCATCAATACCATTTTATTAATTGAATTGGCATGAGCATGACATAATTCAGAGGTTTCAACTTCAGTGGGTTAGACAGCACAGCCTAAGTGGTAAAAACACTTCAGCACACTACAATCTTACACATAGCAGGCCAGCAACTGGCACACACTGGGGAATTTAACAGAGGGGCAAATTCTGCAAGCTCTTCCTCCAAGGCAGACTGTCCTTTTCCTTGAAGTGTGTCATGTCAAGCTAGCTCCAAGTCACAAGGCCAGCTGACACAACCCGAATTAGGTTGGACTAGACCACTAGACCTTGCCTTTGACAAGGGACAAACCAAGGCAATGTGACTAAAAAACACCCCCAAGGCCAACCTCCTGCAAGAGGGGGCAGGCAGACAGGTGCTTGCCATTGGATTAACCCCCAGGAATCACTGAAGCTCTGCAACTCCATAGTCCTCAGGTGGTTGTATATAAATAAGCAGAGCCTGCAACTGCTCTGGAGCTCTATTCTGAAACGCTGGAGGCGGCAGAGCTGGCAAGCAGCCACGAAAGAGCAACGCATGGCAGAATCTTGCCTTCTAAAGCATTTTCCCTCTGCCCCCGAGTACCCTGAGTAATAAGAGGGCCAAAATTTCACACACTGTGACAAAGCTAGTTCAGGTTGATGACTTCAGGATCCTGCGGACTAGTTCCCCAGCTGAACATGCAAAAGGTTGGCATGAAACAGCCCAGAAATGTACATGCAACAGGCTGACATCGCTGCACTGCTATCACCAGTGCAGCCATGGCATTTGCAGTAAAAAAGGAAGTTTCTAACAGCTGGATGGAAAATATGACAAAGAGAAGAGACAGGTTAAGGGATTCTGAAAGGCTCTGTGTGATTTCAAATCTAAAACTAATTATTATCACCTTAAAAACAGACAAAAAAAAAACACAGCTATGAAGTATACAGTGCTCCTCTTCCCACCCAATAATATCTATAAAAGTAAAAATCAAAGAGAGAAAAAAAATATGTAGTAAAGCAGTGGAGAGTTGATCACCTGCCACCTCCACAAGCAGCAAATCAAAAGTGTGCAAAGTGTTGTTCCCTCCTTCCCTGTGTCCCTCTATCTGCAGCAGTACAAGAGGAATGTCAGGGAACATATAAAATCAGATTAATAGTTTTGATACAGTAAGCAACCCCTTTGCCCCACACTGCTGCTCTGCATTTGTTCCTTCTCACCTGAGAGAGATTCTGCAGAGAGTTCCTGATATCGTGCAGGACTCTGCGCAGCTGCATCTCCACGGTGGAGGGCGGATTGATGCCGTGAGGCCGGTGGGAATATCCAGGGTGCCTCGGGGAGAAGGGACAGCCGAAGGGGGAGAGCGCTGCGCCGAAGGAGGAGCCCGAGAGGCTTGGGACACTGTGGGTGCTCAGGGTCCTCATGTGCTCGCAGAGAGGCCTGTCCTGCCACTCGGAGGGAAGCGAGTGGAGAGAACAGACCGACTGGGACATGTGTGCAGGGATGTGCAGCGGGCAGCTCTGTACCCTGCTGTGACCGGGCTCCTCGGGCAGTCTGCTGGGCCCGCTCTGGGACATTTCTCTTTTGGAGGATGAAGGAGCAATGAACAGGGTGGATTTGCACACAGGCTGACTGGCAGCTGGCTTATCCTCCAGCTTGTCCTTCTCAGATGTCAGGTTCTCGTCATCCTCCACAGGGGTGTACTTGTAGGTGAAAGAAGGAGGACTGCACAAAGTCTCTTTTCCTGGAGCTAGCTGGACGTTCACAGAGGACACCACCCTCACTGGATTCAGCAGGGCAGTTGGGAGAGACTGAGACCGCCTGAGGGGATAGCCCGTCTCAGCAAACCAGCACCTCTGCTTCCTGAGGAGGTCCTTGGACTTAAGCAGGGTACGTCCTGCCCTGGAATCAGACGTGCCAACAATCTTCATCTGGGCTCTCTGCAGTGCCACGTGGACCCTGTCCACGGAGGAAGGCGACGAGTCACCAGCTTCAAGAGATTCCGCTGGCTTCAGGATATGGTGTGTTTGGTACTGAGGAAATTCAAATGTGCTGCTTTTGTCAAGGTCACTGTCATCACTGCCTTCCTCCAGTAGCTCCAGCTCTTTTTGCTCACTGGAAAGGCCTTCCCCTTTGGAGCTGACCTCTGCTTGAACTGTCTCTGGTGTATGAGATGACTTGCTTTCTCCTTGCATTTGTTCAGTTTCAAATTCAGGAATGCTTTTACTGTCTTTCCTTCTGTTCTCAGAAGGTGCCTCTATCTTTTGTCTCTCCATTTCAGAGAGAACATCCTCTTCTTCCTCATCATCCTCTTCATCTTCCTCCTCCTCCTCCTCCTCAAACTTATTGAAAAAGAGCAGTTCCTTGGCTATGGGCGTCTTCTGCTCCTCGCTGTGCGACGTCACCGTTGTCTCGCTGTCACAGCTGTCCGCGCTGCTTCCCATGCCCTGCAGCGACTCATGAACCTGCGGAAGACGAGGGCAGTGAGCACAGGCGGGACTCGAGCGCTGCCTCCTGGCGAGGCAAAACACCCCAGTTCACACTCCCCGGGCACTGCAGTAGGCAGCGGAAAGAACAACCCAAAATGCACTCAGCGTTCCAGAGAAACCCACACCGGGAACAAGGAGGCCCGCGCAGGTGAGGCAGGTTGGAAGCACACCAAAGCGCAG